CGGATTTCCGAGGCTTAGTGCGTGGGGTTTAGGGTTTGAAGCTCACGCTGTAGAATGCATTAATTTGCTTGCAGCTCCTGGACAGCGAGCATCCCCTTGCCCGCACTTTCTTGAAGGCTGCGGTGGCTGCCATTTCATCCACCTGGACCTTCTTCATCAACGGAAAGCCAAACAGCAGTTACTGCAGCAGATGCTTCATGAACTGCACCAGGAGCAGCATCTGCGGTGCCAACAGGAGCAACACCCACAGTGGACATGTCCTGAAGTCATACCGCTCGTGCCATCTTCTTCTGAGATAGAGTATGGAGCACACACCGAATGCGCGAGCTGCTCTCACCTTTGTAGCAGCAAAAGCGACACCACAAACAGACACACTGTCTCGCTTAAGGCTTTAGGTATGTGTATTGTTACTGCTTTTGCTGAATGCGTAAGGTTCGCTTCGAGGGTAGACTTCCTACTGCACTCAGTCAACGGAAAACCGCGGTTAGGCCTCCCGGCATTTGATGGGACCGTCAACATTGTCGACATCCAGAAATGCCTACGAATGCGACGCCCTAGTAGGCCTTCTTGGCACCTGTGCTGCCATTGTTGCTGCTTGTGCTAAAGCTTCCCGCGGATGTTCTCGTTAGTGTTGATCATTCTACTAGTGCTTTTGTTATTTATGCAACCCTGTGCTTAGGGAGCCATTGCTCTCGCTGCTGTTGTGGGCTATGGGCTCTGCAGTGAGTGAGGTGTACAGGCAGCTAAGAAAGGGCCTTCTGCCCCTCATGGAAGATCAACGACTGCGAGTGTTGGACCCTCGTTGTGGAGCGGGAACGCTAAGCGGTCTCACTCTCAGACTTGCGGGTAAGGGACTTCATGCACTGACAAACGAACTGTTTTGTTGCTGCTGGTAATGGTGCTGTTGCAGCTAAGAGCTGGGTGTGCAACAGAGGCGTCGTATGTTTTGTGCCTTGAGAGATTGCGTTCTGGCCTCATGTTTTGCACGACACACAATAAAGGACTGGAAACTTAATTCTGAATTGGAGAGTGTGGTGTTTTATTGGTTTTTTAGAACACTGTTCCGAAGGGCAACTCTCTTGTATTTTGTGTGCAGAGGATAGCACAGCGCCCGACGGTACGGTGTTGCTGCGGTTGAAAGGTCATATCGAAGACAGTGCGCGACCCCAACTCGTTCATTTTGCGCAACAGCTGAGAGCGCATTGTCCCTCTCTAAAGGCTGTTACTTTTTGTGATGTACGCAGGTGAGTCAGGGGCTATTGCTGCGGTTGCTTCTGCAATTGTTGTTCCTTTGCTGGTACTCATGGCGCCGTTAATGCTGCCGTTGTTAATGCTACCGTTTTCCCTGTTTTGCTCCCGCTGCTCTCGTTGATGCTATTTTTGGTGCCACAGCATATGCTTTGGCCGTCCTTGGTGCTATATGTATTACCGCCTATTATTTTGCAACAATTTTCTGTTTGTGGTGGTCTGCTGCTATAGGCTGCAAGCTCCAGATGAAGTTTTGGCTGGCACGGATGCGCTACTGGTGACTGTTTTTGGGTGGCGATACCGAATAACAGGTGAGGAACGCTGCCTTGTACTCCACGACAACTTGAGTTTGTTTTTTGCGTTCACACGTTGGAAAGGGTGGGTCCCTACGTTTTAGGCATGTGCCACGAGTAGTTTTAGCTCAAGCTCTTGGTTCTAGGGCACGACCCACTGCAGATTTACAGTGTCCTGTTACCATGGAAGGTTCTCTTGCTATGATATTTTCCTCCACTTTTTGTTTGTTTCGGGCAATTTTTAGCCTCTGAGCCAGCAAAAATAAAGGCTGTCGCAGGCAGTCTTCACTCGTGCCGACGTTTGTCCGTTCTTTCGTCCTACTGTATGCTCCTGTCTATGCGCCATATCCGCACGCATGTCCGTTTGTTGCTTTTACTCCGTTACGCGCGTGTGCCCCTCTGTGGCCTCATTTGTTAGATCTCGTACTCATCTGTCTTCATTTTGTGTGTCCCTATTTTTTCTGTTTCTGTTCTGTGTGACGAGGTGGAACACGCGAGGCCTTTGCAAGTCGGGGAGAAGTGATGGAGCAAATTTTTCATGCTTTGAAGGAGGCCACGGGAAGGGCAACAGGGTGCCTGTGGGGGGCTTTAGGGTCTGGGGGTCTTTTGGAAGTTTTGTTATCCTCCTCGTTTGAGAAGGTGAGCCTAATGTGACCCTCATGTGACGGGCAAGCAAAGCGTGAAGCTCAGGCCATGGGTTCAGGGCTTATTTGAGCACGCAAGAGCACCAGAATAGACTAGGAAGTCTACGCTAATTAAAAAAAAACAAATGTTCAGGCAACGACAGCAATATATGAGCACAAGCAGCTATGGGCACAAAACCAGGAAGGCAGCCAGACAGCAGACGTAGATGGAGGCCATGCAGTCAGTCCCAAAAGGGTCGTCTTTTTTCTACTGCGACGCCGCCCTCAGTTGCTGGATCAATACCCATAGCAAGGCACCGTTGCAGTATATCACGCCGCTTTCCGAAGGAGGTCAATATTGCTTGCTTAGGACGTCGCAGGAGGTGTAAGAATGCGGCTGCACTGCAGGTGGTGGTGTTTGCGCCTGGCTCCCGCGACGCGGATGAGGCCCGCAAGAACTTTGGCCTCAACGGCATATCCTCGGCCGAAGTGGTGGAGTGTACAAACAGCCAGTGGGCTCTGAGGGGTTGCTGAGGCTGTTGCGATTTTGAAGCATCCTAATGATTGCACTCCCCGTCGCCTGTTCCGAGTCCAGCTGGCGCGTTTCACTTAATGCTGCTTGCAGAGACGTTGCGACGGCCCTGGCTGCTAGAGCTGGCCTGTATCGCCCTCTTCGAGGACAAAACCGAGCGCAGCTGGTGCAGGTCAGGCCCAAAGACGAAATATTGCCTTGAAATACCTAAAGGAGCGACCGCTCGGAAATGGCCTGTTTCGAATGGTGGTGTGCGTGCTGATGTAGCCAGTGTGAATGGCTGCTGCTTCGTTCTACTTCGAGAGAATGTGTAGCCACGCAGTATACAGACACATCCATGTTCAGACGCGAATATTCCGTTATGTGGTTACTGTCAAGCTGAGAAATGGAAGTGGCTTTTAATGCGGCTATGTATGCTGTAGCTTTGGCACACTTTTGTGCTGTTTATGTTCCGGTATATTCAAAGCATGCTGTGGCACGGGGTACCGAGATAGGCTTCCACCGCGTTGAGGGAAGCGCGTTGGAGCGAGAAGTGACAGCGAAGGACAGTGCTGGAGACTGCCGACAACGAGCCGAATCTGCTGCAACCACCACAGCAACGGCACTGACACCAGCAAACTCAGCAGCACGGGAGTCACTAGATGCAGCATCGAAGCTGGAAGGAATAGGAACATCTGGTGAGCAGCACTTCGGCGCGCCGTGGCAGATGATTCTTGCATGTTCTTGCGTGCGCCCACGACGTATCCTCACGTCTTGGCAACCGTATCTCCGTTGAGTTCCTTCCGTTGGATTCAGAAGCCATCAAGACTGCAGCTTCCGAGCTCCCTGACGTTTTATTGCTCTCTCCATCGCGTAGAGGGCTAAACAAGGCAAGCACAGTGTTTTGGGGGTTCAGTTCTACTGCGCCTATACTTCTGGAGCACGTACGGTTTGCCCTACTGAGGGACTGTCTGCAGAGCTCTATTCGCATTTTTCTGGTGCAGGAGATTCGGCGCTGGGTCGCCGCAGCAGCTCCCCGGCGTATTGTCTACATAGCCCATGAGCAGCAAGCATTTCTTCGAGACGCAAAGGCACTTGCAACCGTCGGGTAGAGGCTCTTCTTACTTTTGCTGTTGCACGCTGCAGCTCGAGCAAGAGTATAGCTCACAAAATCTCTCCTGGGCTTCTAGGGGTAGCAAAATAGCTCCAAAGGAGCGACACGATGTCAGTGAATCCATCACAGCATCTCATTCCCAGTGAGAACTATGTCTATGCAGGTACGAGCTTGCATACTTTAAGGCATTCGACATGTCTCCTCACACAACTGAAGTACTTACCGTCTCCGCCTTCTGCAAAAGCCATTCTGACTCGTGCAAGCACCAGGAGGCAGAACAGACCCCCACGTGAACAAAGGAATCCCTCCCTACAGAGCTAAAGCACTCAATGCCCTACACGACCCACGACCCTCATGGATGCCCGAGGGGGTCCCCATGAACATCTTATGCAGAATGCACGAGGGTTTTATATCTCGGCACACAAGATTCCAACATCAGAACCGAAGTCCATGGATGACCCTGGAAAAACCGCAGTGAAGGCCCACCTGTCACTCCAGTAAAGGCGTAACTGCTGGGCATTAAAAAGATCGTAGGCGTTATAAGCCTTTTGTTGAGACATTCTTTGAGTTGGCGTGAACACATAGACTCTTCAACGGGTGACGGCGAGTCGCCAAGTGTGGCGTCCGACAAACGCAAGGCCCGCATTCACTGGCCATATGCTTACGCGCGGCTCATGACTGAGGCGACACCTTGAAAAATCGTGTAGCCATAATATGGAGTGTATGTACAGAGCTAGTGAGACGCACGCAAGAGCTCCTCATGGCAACCACCACGACAAGGAACCGCGTAGGCACCACTTGAAGACCTGTTCAAGTTTTGCTCTCCTAAAACGTACTTAATGTAGGTAGCGATGTCGTGAGCCTTGCCAGAAAGAGTATCCTGGGCCACACACGCTTTCCATCTAAAGCTCACACACGCGCACACAGCCTCAGTGGGGAATGGGTTGTGCCTGTGGAGCTAGGCGCACCTGTGGAACATGGGCCGGCAGCGGTCAAGCTCAATTACTGTCGGGATTGTAAATAGCAACGTAGAGGAAAGACACGGAGCTGCGTGCGGGCTTCGGCGGGGGAACGAGTACACAAAACAAGTCCACATTTTCCTTTAGCAATTAGTCATGGTTACGTAGACACTACAACTTGAATGAGATGTAGCGCATGCATGAAAATATAGCACCTGGTGCATCTACGAACCAGAAGAATTGGATTGAAAATCAGGATTTTGGCTGGCTGTTGTTTCCGAAAAGGAACTTGTATCTATCCTCGCTGCTTTCAAAGGGGCCGAAGCTGCGCGCAAACATAGAGTTTCGCTGGGGCTTAAAAGTATGGCAGTTGTCAAGAAGAACTCGTTTACTATGCTCAAGAGTCTACGGTTGTGGTTTACATACCGTTGGAAGATACCGTGCAGCTTTTGGGCGGCGTTGCGGTCGTCGATGATCGGCACGGCGTCCGCTGCGCAACAGAGCCGAAGAGTTGGACTTCACAGCGTATCGCTTCAAGTCCAAACGTGTAGTCCGTCCTCAGGCAACTGGTTTCCTCTGAGGGGAAACGGCGATATGTCTGCGGTGTGCCAGCAATGGAATGCGGACTCTATGGGATACAACTGCGGTACCCCTAGCAATGGAATGCGGACTCTATGGGATACAACTGCGGTACCCCTATACTCTACAGGTTCAGAGTTTGTAAGTCTAGAGCCTACAGGTAAGGATGTGGTCATCTGGTGTAATCAGAATGATGGAGGGTAAACGACGAATTCCAAAGCGCCGCACTAGTGCACTATAGTCTCCGAAGGGAAGTGACAGCCTGCATAGAAACCCCAAACGCAGCATACCAAATCATGTGCAGTCAGTCCTGACTTTAGATCACTGCAGCAAATCCTAAACTTATGACAATAAAACCTACCAGGGCATTGTATATGCGAATGCGGCGAATTCAGCAGGGGAACGGTCGCAGGGGATGTAGATTGTCTCGAACAGAGGCGGCTGCTGCTCCTGCTGCAGCTGTTTTAGCTGGCTGTAAACCTGGTGAAGCCGTGCAGAAAAGTCCCGACAATGAGGGCACCAGGACGCCCCGAAGAAAAGCGCGATATACTTCCCCACTAGTTCAGCTGGTGGTACTGGTTCTAGGCCTACAGCCCTTGCTGCTGCTTTTACAGCGGGTGTGCTACCATTCGCACTACCCTTCTGTTGTATTAAGAGCCTCCACCGCTGCTGCTGCTGCCTCATAAGCTGCTGCTTGGGAAGACTGACGTGCAGCTGCCATTGCTGTACTGCCGTCTGGAGTCGGCGGCGGTTTGCCGCTGCGTAGCAAAAACAGCGGCACCCATTCTGCTACAGCTGCCTTTTTTTGTGTTGCTTGTGCAGCAGGTGCTCTCGCTGCAGCTTCTCTTGTGGGTGCCGGTGCCGCATCTGCTCCACCATGATGTATCGGTCCAGAAGGCGCGGCGGCGCAGATAGCCGGCTCTCGGTGGTAAAAGCCAAAGAATGGCATATTCTTAACCCTTCTATCATGAACTGCACGTTCTTGGTTTCTGAATGTACGCATCTTTATCTAAGTTCGTTGGGACTTGCGTAGCAAGCCCTTGACGTGGTTCAGCAACTGGAGTAGCTGCTGCAGATTGAGCGCCGCGAGTACACTTTTTTTCAGCCATCAAAAATTTTGGTTGTGCTCCAACCTTTAGCCGCTTGGAGTATTTTTCCATCATTATGAAGAGACAAGCCATCAAAGTTACATAGTAAACCCTCGAGTGTGTGCTACGATAATTCATGAGGTAGATTTTGTCATTTTCATCAGCAAAGCAATTTCATAACATAATTAAGGTATTTCCTCGTGCCTCTCAGGGATGTTCTGCATGCCTAATGCTATGGTTTCCTCTTCCTAGTGCGTTTCTGCACAGCGGACTAAAATCGGTAGTGGCACTTCAAAAGTTGGAACTTGTATTTCTAGCCCTTCAGTAGATTTCCGTGCTAAAAACAACCTGCGCGCCTTTAGTACGATCAAAGTTTCATCTACTCTTTTTTTCCTACCATCGCTTTTTTACTCCTGTATTGCGTAAGTGGTGTACTGCTTTCACATATAAATATGGCTCTCCCTACAACTAGTGGCAAGCAGTAGTAAAAGGTGTAACAATCAATCTCTCCAAAACAAAGAACCTTGAGTGAAAGTGGGTTCACGTGAGTCGCCCAAAGCACATCCCATTTTATTTCTAAAGTGTCTCCTGCAAAGACTGCGGCTGCTGGCCTTTTACGGCTTCTAGCCACTGCCACACGTGCGTATGACACCCAAGTTAGTGCGTATCGAGCATTCGTGCTCACACTTCTGGAATAGTCGATGCACTTCTGTTTACACGATCGCAGCATAGTTCAGCCATTCCTGGTGAATCATATTGCGAAATATCGGGCAGGCCCCAAAAAAAAAAGATGAATGCAATCCACATAGCTGCAGCCGCTGCTTTTGTAAGACAATTCAAGATACTTTGTTGGGAAGGCAAGAGAAATCCCTCTATTTTTGCAAAGCTTGGATCTGCATGCAAATTCTTCTTCAAAGCAAAATACGAAAGCAGAAAGAGCTAAACCTCATTGGTAGCCTTGACATAATGCACGCCATAGCTGCAACTACGCCAGCACAGATCCGTTAAACCCCCACGCAAGCGAGGAAAGTGGCGGCTGCCCCTTACCTTTAATTGTGACTATGTTGTCTTCAAGTTGCGATTGCTGCTGCCGCTTTCGGATATACGCTCACTAGTAGTACCAGATATTGGACTCAAACTTGCACGGAAATAGCTAAGCATAAACGCACTAAAGGCAGATGAGGGAAAATGATGTTCGGAACAAAAAAGATGATGACCGTAAGAAAAGAAGCAGCGCCTTCGTATACGGAGAGACCTACAACCCACGCTTCCCCAACTAGCCTTGCTGCTTATTCTGCTGCCGTTTGTACTTCTCCTAATCCTTCTGCAAACGATTATCCTAACTCTGACAAAGGATTCAAAGTCTCAGTGCAACAGCAGCAACTGCTGCCGTATGAGTCGGTACACCTCGCTCCTAGTACGCCCGTGCTACAGAATATGCGGCATCAGGCCTCCGCTGCCAGGAATAAATGAAAGGGATAAGCTTCGGATCAGGCTTCGCTAGGGGGGTCAAATAAGGAACAGAGTAGCGCAGGCGAAGCTACCACCACCATGCGCAAAAAAAGAAAACAAACGAGAACGAATAACAGGGAACCAAGCCAACTTTGTCACTCAAGCCCCTTTTGTTTCAGTTCTTCTGAAATGCAGACTCTATAGTCCGCAAAGAAATGAAAGCAATTACGAGACATATCTCCCTGTTCAGAAACAACACCAGAACGTGAAGAATTTAGAAATGAGCTAGACAATCGATGAATGCAACCCGCACAGTTAAGTACTACAAAATGCACTTGAAGTGAAGTGAGCTTAGCAGTTAATGTGTCAAGACAAACTACAGGAATGTGAGCAATGCACACGAATTGGCAAACTCTGATAACGCAGACAAAGGCGAAATCTTTCCGTTGATATTGATGGTAGCAGACGCGAGCTACTGGAGAGACACAGCAAAAATAAAAGGGCTTTAACGAGGAAAACCCGTCAACGGCAAAAAGCGCACGAAAACACTAATGTGAGCAGAAGCACACGAAAACAAGTAGCCTGGGTGAGTGATGAAGAAACGACACAACACGAGAAACGAACAGGCAAGAGATGAGACGAGCTTTCGATGAAAAGATGAGACGGTCAGTGTACGACACAGGAGCAATGACGGACTGGTGGACACAAACCGAAGAAATAAATGCACGAAATGGACAAATAAAATCCGACTCAGCCAGCACGCAAACGGACAGGAACGAAAGGATAGGTGGACAGAAGAGTGATTAAAACCGAAACACGATGAAACAGAAATGCATTCAAAATCATGAAAAAAACAAACCTGCAAAAAGTGGTGTCGGTACCAATGATTAAAGCATCTATCATACTGCTCCTTCAACCCAGCGCAAGATGCCATCTGCAGGGACCCCACATACAGCGGCAGTAGCACTAGCAGCAGGAACAGCAACGGTGAACATCAGCAGCATGTGCTGCAGCAGCGAAAAGCTGCGAAAAAATGCTTTAGGCAAAATCAGACCTCCCCGCTCAATGGCAGCAGCACCAGACGTGCTCCTACAAGGTGGGCTCCAAGCCCTACATTGTGTATCTGAAGAAACTGCGATTGAGGATCCATAATGCGACGATTGCGGATAGGCCTTTAGGGACAACCCACTCACCGCCTCACGCATTGCAATCCCATGGTCTTTAGGCTGTTGCGTTGCTGCAGGCATGGCTTGGCCTGGTGCACTGCATGTGCTGCTGCTTCTGCTGCTGCTAGAGGCTGCCTCTGGCCCGGCGGTGTGTGCAAGCGACGGCATCATCGCTTGCGTAAGAAAGACAGCGGCGCCTTCGTTTATGGCTACAACCAGAGCCCACGCTTCCGCAACTAGCCCTGCTGCTTGCTCTGTTGCTGTAAGTACTCCTGCCACTTCTTCTGCAAGCGATTATTCTAACTCAGACAGAGGATCCAGAGTGTCATTGCAGCAGCAGCAGCAGCAGCAGCGGCAGTCAGTGCATTTCGCTCCCAGTGCCCCCGCACTGCAAAATGTGAGGCAGCACAAGCCGCCGCTGCAGTGGCAGAAGCCGTTCTTTCTGTGGTTGCCAATCGCTGTCTCAGAAGTTGCTCTCGTTGGCCTCGTATAGGTGCGCCTCCCAGGTGTTGAGGGGTGCCAAGCGCCGCAGCAAGTGTGGTGACTGTCTGTGGCGGCAGCAGCAAAAGCATTCCCACGGAAAATCGGTCAGTTTCCTCTCTCAAGTATAAAAATCAGACGGGAAGGAGTTACAGCATTGGCAGCAGAACACGCAGTTGCTTTTGCATGCTGCTGCTGCGTGCTATTGCGCTAGCCCTACAATTCAGTCGATTGCAGCTGCTGCTGCGGCCACTGCTGCTGCGGCAGCCCCCGCACGATTTTCTTCCTCTTCTTGTAGCCTTCACAGAGTCTTTCATTTTTAAATGCAAAATGATAAACCTTAAGCCGTAAATCTGTGAGCAGCACCGTATCGGAAACGGGCGAAGGCTGGAGGGCCCACTCCGAGTCTTGGGGCCCGCCGGGTCCTATGCTGCTGTTGCAGTTGCAACCGCAACAACGGCAGCAGCGGCACTGCATTATCGACTTGTATTAGCATTTCGGCATCGGCTGATTTTGTATTCCGTTTGTTGGAGCTTAATTTTGCTCGATAGCGAAGGAAGGAGGGTCGGCGGCAGGAGTAACAGTGGCAGCAGCTGCACGAGTAGCAGCAGCTGCTGCGGTCCTTTTGTGACAGCAGCGCACGCAACTCACCAACACGTGGTCGCTGCATCTGCTGCAAGCAGAGAGGAGAAGAGACCCTTCCTATAGACACAACGACGCTAGGAGGAGGAACAGCTAGGCAAGAGCGCTTACACCCCTCGCAGCTGCGGCTGCTCCAAAGATTCTCTCGACAACATGACTGAAGCCAGCCGACATGTACTCTGCATCATTAGTAACAGCGTCGAGCGCGGCAACTGACGGGGCAACAGGTCTAACAGGAGCTAAAGCAGCGGCAACAGCAGCAGTATGAGCGGTTGCATGGAAGTAGACTATGCTGGTGCTGACGGGAGTACTGCTGGAGACTCCGTAGGTGCTGAGGCGCAGAAATATGACGTTGGCCTGATTGCAACAGCAACGGCCGTGCCTCCAGTAACAGTACCTCCGGCGACGCCGGTGGAGAATGACGAAGCTTACAGTAAAGAAAGGCCGGCAGCGGAAGGGGATGCAAGCGAGCCAATCTTACAGGAGCAGGAGCAACAACAACAGCAACAACAAAGCTTGTCTCCCGTGCGCTTGCACCATCCCTTGCCACGCGTGGGACATACAATATGCCCCTTCAACCTGCCGGCGAAGGTGACGCCGTTGCAGATGCAGGAAAAACAGGAGCAGCAGCAACAGAAACATCAAGCGCGACGGCTGAGACACACGTGGGAAAAGCGGGAGCAGCAGAGACACCAGCAATTGCAGGCGACGACGCATTCTTCCGTAAAGCCGGATGACATTTACAGAAACAAAAACGGCAGCACCAACGCCGTCGAGGGTCTGTGGGTACGCTCACTGGTCAGAACAGTATTGGTTGGCGGCTGCAGCGCTGATGCAGCCACTGCAGCGGCCGCAGCAGAACCAAACATATACAAAGCCGTAGAGAGTAAGCCGTCTATTCAGCTGGGGCGTGAAGCTCTTCTTCTATTTTTTGTGGCCCTGCCTGCGTGTGTCGCCGTCGTTGCTGCTTCCGCAGAGCTTGGCATACTGCGCCTGTTGCTTTTGGTGCTGCTACGGCTGCTGCAGGTACGGCGGTTGTTCCCGGAGATGCGTTTTTGGGATTCACTGCAGCGGAAGCGGCGGCTTCCCTGAGACAGACCCCATTCTTGTTATTACAGCAGGCTGCAAGTGCAGCAGCAGCACGCAAGCAACAGCAGGCCATGACATTTCCCCCAACTGGCTTGCCGTTTTCAGCAGCAGAAGCGGAAGAGAGACGTGGAACAGCCGCAGGAGAAGCGCTGGATAGAGACTGGCTTGAGACGTATATATTGCGCTTGTCTTCTGCTGGAAGCCGCTGCTGGTTGTGGTGGCGACTGCAGCTTTCAGACGTTCCTGGGGGGCCGGGTGCTTCCACGGACTGTGCTGGTGCTGCCGTTGCGGTAACCCCAGAATGTCGGGTGCACCATGCAGCTGCCTCTGTCTCAGCGGAGAGACAGTGTTCGGCTGTCGCGGTCTTTGGGGGTAGGAGAGCGGATGGAGCCTTCGCAGATAATGAAGTATGGACTGTGGCGCGTTTCTGCTGCTGCTGCTGCTGCGATGCCTGATGCTGCTGTGCGTTGAGCAGCCGGGAGAGTGCGGGTGCAAATCTTTTGTAGGCTGGCGCTGCTGGATCTGTGGTTTTACTGTTGACTTGAGCTGCTCTAAAGAAAATTGCGGAAGTTCTGCAGCTGCATGAGCCGTGATATTTGCTCAGCTGCGATTCGTGCTTGTGCCACTGTTGCAGCTGTACCTGCTCGAGGTGACTGCGCTTCTCTCTTTAGACCTGCCTCTTTACATCCTGGGAGAACTATTATGTCTGGCTCTCGCAGACGCGACAAGAGCAGAAGGACCAGCAGCAGCAGTAGAAACAGCAGCAACTGGTGCAGGGACTGTCCCGACAATGCCTTCAACGGAAGCGGCTAGGCATACAGCTATTACCACAGCTTCGACCGCACCAAGCGCAGCAGCTACACACGTTGACTCGAAAGAAGATGCAGGGCGACGCAGCTTTGGCAGCAACAACTGCAATATCCCGCCGTTGCTAAGGTGGCGAGTGCCGCTATGCGTTGGTCGCAAGCCTTCAGCGAGGCTCGGCCATTCCTTGGTTTACGCGGAGCCTCATCTAATCCTTTATGGCGGCAAGGACGAGCGGTAAAGCGACTCTTGCTGCTGCTGTTGTGCCGGATTTTTTAACTGGCAAAGTTGCCTGTGTGGCTTGTGTAATCGGCTGTGCTTACTTAGCAGCGCGTGGTTTGGCTCTACACCACTTGTGCTACGCATGGTTCTCTGTCACAGGGGCCAGCTACTGAGCGACGTGTGGCTTCTGGACATCTTTGATTGGCGGAAGGCGCATCGGCCTGCATCAGTGGGAACCGCAGCAGCAGCAACAGCAGCAGCGTCGGTTGGCGTGAGTACATCAACACTAGCAGGCGAAGTTTCATCCGCTGGAGCGCGCGCAATCGAAGCAACAGAAGCACTGAGTATCTCCCTTTGTTGGGTTTGCTTAGACCTTTCGGCGTCTCCCTTGAAACCACCCGGCCGTTTCCTACATTCTTGTAGTGTCTTTTTCAAAACTACGGGCGACGGGTCCTGCTGCATCGTACGCATTGCTTTCGGATTTCGTGCTGTTACTGCAGTTGGAATTGCGGGCCTAGGTTTTACTGCTTCATCTCGCACTAATACAAGTACAGGTGCTTGCCTTTAGTGGTGCTTTTTATTTTTGCAGTTTCCATGCGTATGTTGTGGTGCTCTGCTGCTGCTACTGCCGCAGGTGGTAGCGGGGGGTTGGACCTCTATAGTTTTGCCTCGTGCTCGTCTTTACGCTCTCCATAGAGATGCTAAGGGCCACTGGAGACACGTCAGTTTGTCTAGCGGTTGTGGCAGACGGCAGACAGAAAGTAGCGAAGTAGAAGCAAATGATGCAGTAGTCACAACAACGGAAGAAGCGAAGGCGCGGCATCGATAGACCTACGTTCTGTAGAAGTGAAGGTGATGGCGCCAGAGATGGAGGCAGCTCAAGAAACGGTGCCAAAAGATGTTTGTGTCTGTGCCTGCGCAGTGTCTCCTGCCAGTCCGAGTTACGAATGCAGCAGATCAGCGTTTTATGCATGGTAAGTCATACCACTGGTATTATGCTGTTTAGCGTGCACTTATTTGCCATATTCTGTTGTTAGTGCATCATCTCTTGTGATGCTTAATCTGCTGTTTCCGTAGCTTTAACTTGGGCTGCGCCAGTTGTTATAATTGCACCTGTTGGACCGGCAATTGCTGCCATCTTGCCCAAGTCATGCTGCAGCTACGGGGCTTGTTGCCAAGCTCGTAGTTTGTCGCAGCTATACCAAGTGCAATTCCTGCAGAAGTAGTAGGACTGCTTGTTTTGACAATATAACAAGCGTTGGTGTTATTCCTGCGTTCGCTGCTGCAGCGTCAGTTTGTGCGGGCTCTTCGTTGCTGTTATGTGGCGGCTTGCAGATCAGACCGTCAGCTCCACCGTAAGCACTTCACATTTCCGCTGACTTTACATGGCTGTTGCTTCTTGTTTCCTGCCATCAGCTGTTTTTTCTTGTTTCTCAAGTGTCTGGAGGCTGCCACTCTGCTCAAGCTTTCATTCAGTGTTATTTGTCCCATCGGTGTTCTGGAGTTGTAGGGCGACTTCTTGGGCTGCTGCATCCATTATTGTTTGTGGATCTGCTTTCGGTGCTGCTGCAACTGCTGCAGTTGTGCTGTGGCCTCACCGATCGTCTCTCATGACGCCCTCAGCCACCGCAGTCTATCTTTCCCACATGTTAACATTTCCGCTGTACGTTAGTTAACTCCGCTTCGAGACGCTAAACTTGCTGCAAATTAAGGCACAGTGTATCCCTTATTTTGAGATTGCTTGCGCTGCCCAGTGCTATCCCAAGTAACTCGAATGTCCATAATGCATTTTTCTTGCCCTGCTTTTATAACTGGTGTTTCTGCCGCTGCTTTCGTTGTTGGTGCTGCAGTTAGTAGGTCACCAAGCCTGGCAAGTCGGCGGATGGATTTTTTGCTTTGGGGGATTCAAAGTAAACGACGATGAGAAGGGACCACTGAACCCCGTACCCATGAATCGTCTGGCGTTTTTCGATGCATGCGGTAAGCGTCAGCGGTTCACTCGTCTTCGTGGTTATTTACTTCCAAACAGTTATTTATTGAGTGAGCAACCTATCTGGCCATTGACCCAGGCGTTGTTGTTAGCATCCTGTCTATGGGCGAGCCAGATGAAGCCTGCCAGCCCCATGGCTACCGTGCCAGCCCGCAGGCATTAGTGCTGTTTAAATCCGATGAGCTGCTCTTCTGTCTCCCCCAGCAACTCAGTCATGTAGAGACTTGGATTTGGGGGTGGCAACGTACGTACACTAGAAGATAGCCGCGTAGGATAGGTAGCTACTTGGAGGCAGCGTATAAATTTAGCATCTTGCTTTTGGACGCAGCGCCACAAGGAAGATTTGATCCTTAAGTTTGGGGCTTTTGCGGGCGAGAGGGGGTTGTTGCTGCAGATCTGCTGCCTAACAATTCTTCAGAGCCGCTCTTGGCTATTCGCTACGAGACGCACCTGCACTTGCAAAGACGCGCAGCAGCACCTGAGGTATCATCCAGGCAGCTGAGGCCTCAAGCATCACATGATCCTGCAGCAGCAGCTGGAGATTCCCACAGCTGCTGGGATGCTGACAGTAGCGGCAGTAGTAGCACTGAACACCACCAGCCAGCAGTGGAAGCTTGCAACAGCAACAGCAGTAGCCCAATGTTCTCTCGGCAAGCGACCCAGACACCCTGTACAACGGATAAGTGGGTTTCAGCCGCAGGTGCAGCAACCGCAGCAACTGGGGTGGCAAGTGGTACTGCGGCGTTGGCTTCTCATGGGCCTGTCTCAGCCGAGATGATCACTGCATATAAGGATAGCAAGAGGCCTTGCTCAAGGCCATGGAGCTTCGCTGCATCTTCACTTTCTGAGCAGCCGCCTCCGTCAGAAACAGCACGAGCAGGTGTTGCTGTTTCTTTTACGTCTACGGGTAATGCGGCCCATGACACAGCTGCTTGTCCTGCAGTGTCTCTGCGCGCGCAAGTTCACGGGCAAGGAAGAGGCATTTCTGGCATGGCAGGCCCCCCTACAGGGAGTGGCAATGCAGCAATGCATACTGCTGTCGCTACGGTTGCAGTAAGTACTGCTTCCAATGTGGCGCCGCAGCAGTCAGAAGCACTTACGTGTACACCCCGCCGCCATCGGCGAGTGGCGGCTTTGCAGGCCCTAGAGTCATTCAAGCTGCTTCCAGATACGTCGGCCTCTGAGCCCAGTGGGGCAGTTGCCCCAACGGAAGTACCGACAGTCCCAGAGGCAGCAACGGCAGCAGCAACAGAAGCAGCTACAACGCCTTCTAGAGCGTCGGCAGAGAAGCTCACTTAACGCGTTCACAGCGTCAGCGCAGAGGGTGAACAAGTCAACAGCGTTGTGAGTGTTTGCATCCGCTCAAAATTTTTTTGCACGTTAGCGCGCATTTTGCAGTCTCGGTTGCACACAGCAGGTGCATTAGCGACAGCAGGAACCGCCGTCTAGGGTCAAGGAACCCTTCTTTAAGAAGCCTACGGTCATCGTCGGGATCCCCGCTATATACTGCAGCAGCTGCAGCAGATCGCGCCGCGTCCATCTTGTTTTATACGAGTTGCGACACAAATGAAGATTGGGTCGCCACCCCACTGGATAGGTGAATCTCATTAATGGAGCTCCCCTACGCTTTTTTCTTTTGCTGGACTTTTTCCTGTTGGCTGGTAGCTCTTCAATCCACCGATAACTGGCTGTCTAGCTGGTGCTGGCGTCGGTGGTCAGCTGGTCAGCACCGCCGCAGTGCCACGTTCATATACGCTTTAGTTTGGCATTTCCCGGATGCTGCAGATTAAGCAGTTGCGCATTTTGAGTGAGTCCAAGTGCAAAGAGTCTGTACCTCAATAACGGTCCTCCGTAATTCGTGGGTGCATGAGGGGAGCCAGCCGCCGCCACGCAACCAGGAGCCAAACAGAACTGCACAAGGCGAACCGACTTTCACTCAGCAACCACTTGCACCAGGAGTAGCATCAGCCAAGCAAAGTAACTCACGCAAGGGCCGCGAGGCTGGAGCAGCCAGTAAACGAACCTGCTACAGCAAGTTGCACAAGGCAAGCGCGGAGCAGCACCCCAGGCAGTTTGCTGCTGCATCCATGAAGGCAACCACGTGCTGCCTATATTGCTTTCCCCCGAAACAGCAGCAACTGATCTGCAACGAGACTTCTCTTGCAACGCTCATCGAAGTGCTCGCTATGCAAAAGCGCAGTTAACGCGCTGTCAAGTACACACATCTCGCCGCGAATGCCGACTTCACAAACATGCCTGTGTAACGATACATGCAAGAGGGCCGCCAAGCAGCTCTGTCGGCTTGTGCAGCTTTGGCTGCCGCTCAGACTATTGGCCATACGTGCCACGCTGTATGCACGGAAGCGCTCGTGCATTCACCCTTGCGCTCATTAGCTGATTGAAGAAAGTTGTCTGTCCCTTCAAAAACACGGCATCTGGATTGTATGCGACACTTAGAAAACGCGCAACTGACGCCCCGTCCCTTCTTTGGGAGGATAGACATTCAGCAGTCCACATCCAAAGCGTACGAGCAGCCGCTCAGCAGCTCGACCTCGCTCGCTGCTCACAAAACAGGAGAGGCAGTCGCTGCTGCTGCCTTTGCTGTTCTGCATGCGACATAAACGCGCAGAGCTGTCTTGCACACAGCGTTGCAAAACAAGCAGCTGAGGCAGCAGAAGCATAAGCAGCTGCTGCCGCTGCCAGGTTAAGACAGTCCCTACCCCGATGTTACACCATCCTTCCGAGCATGCTACTGGGCACGCAACATGCTGCAGTGCTAAAACTAAACAGTGAGATTAAGTTGCATGCGTCAGAGGGACGGCACGGCTGCGCTTGTAGATTTAGAATGACTGTAATGCATGCATATACGTTGTGACTCTGCGGAACCAGTGCAAGCATGAGGGCGATGCAGCGCAAGATGCCTTCCAGCACAATAAAAGGCTGTGAAAGACGCCAACAAAACAGTATTGCGCAGATCACATGCCCGTCCGTCAGTCGTGTTTTTTCTGCGCCGCACTCCTCTTGTAAGGCCTCTAAAGCAAGTGTATGTACACAAATACGCGCGTGCGGTAGCGCAGGAACATGTATCTGCAGTTCCTGTACAAGTTATACGCTCGCGTCTAAACCATCTGTGGCGAGCATCAACGTCGCCTAACTAGTTCTCTTTCTTCTCTGTCGTCTCCAGCGCAGACGCTCGCAGGATGCTGCTCCCCTCCTCGTCTTCCTCCTTGTACGCCAGCCTGCCGCAGCAAATGGATACACCAGCAGCAGAAAGTTCACATAGTCCTCCTAGCCGCTGATAAGTGATGACTAGGGGACAGCAAGATGCAGCGCTGACAGCAGAAGCTGCAGCTTGTCATACTAATTTTCAGCACCTACAGCATGAGCACTCAAAGAAACAAAAAAGGACATGCAGCAGCCACAATGGGTACATCATGGACACAATTTTTTCTCTGCTTACACTTCTTTAACTTTTCCGTTGAGAGCAGCTGCGCCAAAGAGGCTAAAGAGACAGTACGGGACAAGATAAAGAAGCGCGGGCTGCGGATGCTGTGCATAGAGCATTACAAGGCCTGTTGTCAGCAAGCCCAACTCATAGAACGCAAGTACAACGCAAAAGTAGAACTTAGGGAAACGCTGCAAGGAAATAAACAAACAAAATCCGAAAAGAACGGCTGTGCAACCGATGGGAAACGTGGATAAAAACAAGGATAGTTTACGTAAGGATAGCAAAAACGGGTAAATAAACCTGCAAAGGCAGCATCCCGGGTGAAAGAATTAAATGCTATAGCTCAATTTGAGAGATGAGACAATGTGAGGCAGACAAAACGCGAAGTCATTTCACCTGGTGTATGTCCACCGCCAGAGCCTTCGTTGCTGCGTTTTGCTGCTTTTGGTAGAGAAACAGATCGAAGCGTAGACACATGGCTATCAAGACGCCGGGAATAACCACGTCACCCAGGCCGAGAATGCTGTACTGCAATGGAGACAGCTGCACTGGAAACATCAGTTTGGCTGGACCCTCAAAAGCCTGAAGGGAGAGCGCAGCCAAAGGAAAGGATGGAAGGCTGGCATGCACGCAGACAAAAGCGGTACAGGCAATGACTGCGACTGGAATCTACACACCCCACAAGGAGAAATATAGCCACGGAACTAGGTTCACTACACAAAGCCTGATGCCTTCCACAGAAAGACAAAGTTGGCGACGGAACATCACGAGTGGCACGTTGGCAACACAACTAGCCACAAATGCCAGCAGAAGAAAGCCGCCTTTGGAGGAGAGAACGAGGCGTTTGGTTTGTGGCAAGGACGCCGAGCTATGCAAGGCTAAAAATGGTCGAAATCACTGTGAACGAGCAGCCCACACGAGGTAACCAAAGAGCATACAGAAACCAGAAACCCCAAACGCAAACAAAAACAAACAAACACCAAAGTACTTAAATGGATCAATCATGCAGAAACCTCACAACGACAAAGAAGCCAAGAGCAGGAACACATATCACGACTACTAAAGCCCACAGCCAGCGTCCTTACTAGCCTCTCGCCGTCGTGACACGCAAAAAGAGTAGTTGGACAGATGGGGACCTGAAAAACGTACTTGTTTTGTCTTACCTTTGCCACTGAAACCATCACTTCAGTCCCAAACACCCAAAACACATCATATACGAAGAGCCCGCATAGTAGAATGCTAGCAACTCCGAAACTTCCCACGCTCACTATTGCTATCGCCTGTATCACAAGCAACGCCGAAATCAGCACTGAAACTGAGAGCGGCTTGAACGATGAATGTACGTGGCCATATTTGATTTCACACTTTGTGCCTGTGCAGCTGGTGCCATTGCTGTTGCAGCTACTTAAAACACGTAGTTGGCAAACGCAAATTCCGACTGTCCACATCTGCGAATCAAACAGAAGTGCCATGTATGAAACAGCCGCAAATACAATATGCTTGACGGGTTTACAACGCGGAAAAGGCAGTACAGAAGGAATGTCAGGGCGACTAGCCTGCCAGAGACAACTCAGGCTTAATGAAAGGGTGGGTTTCAAAAGCTGTAACCAAACACCTGAGTGCAAAATGCAATCGCCAAAATGTTGTGTAGCGCCCAGTGCTTCGTTATAAGCCACAGGATGCATATGGCCAAAGCTAGCAGATGGGAAGCGAGCCAAAGAGGACTGAATCGCCAACTCCAGTCCACGGCTAGCTTGGTCTCCTGTCCGTGCTGCTTCTTCTGCTGTTTCTCCTGTTGCTCCTCCTGGTGTTCTTGGTGTTCCATGCGTGTCGCTTCTGACGGCGTTGGGCCGCTGAGCCACTTGCGGATCCAAAGGAAAGGACCTCTGGGACGGAGGACAAGCCAACTGTCATCATACAGCCAGGGTGGACAGAGAGGCCTCTGAAGGAGATGGACAGCAATGCGTGCAGCCACGCAGTCGTCAAAGAAAACAAATGCAGACTCAGAGTGAAATAGCAGGTAGGCGAGCAAGACAAAAAACGAGATTTCTGCTGAACACGCGAGATCCCACCGGTGAATACGATAACGGCTACACGCAATTACAGCAGAGAAACGCATGGAAGAACAAATAACACGAAAAGATACTGATGAGTCCTTTTGTACGTTGCGGCTTACTGACACAGAGAAGACTGTTCCCCCTAACGCAAGAAGACCTACGCCCGTCAAGTAGAACGTCAGGAGCATATTCACCCACCCAGCTCCCAAGAACTTGTAGGCAAGGTACCTAAAAAAGCACTGCAAGCATCGAAAAGGAAGCCTTGGACGGCAAGCCCGACGTCCCACATCCAAAGTCAAATCCAGTCACGTATATCCCACTCTAGCCATCAAGATGGGAAAGGCAACTACCAAGTGTTACACTATCAACGCATCGTAAATCCTGGGCTTTCGACCTGGAACGCCCAGTGACAACCTTTAAGCTCGAACGCACAAGCTGAAGAGTGCTATGGAGCCGAAAACAGGAAAAAGCATGGCGTCAGTTCTGTCCATGGCCTCCCCTTTGTTTAACCTCTCTCCCGTTATTGCGTCTACTTCGTTTTGCTTCAAAGACAAGTGGCTCCCTATATAAAGTATGGGAGCCGTATAAAGCACCATCTGGAGCAGCACAGGAGGGGGACTCAGCCAGGGGGATCCCAAAACAAGACCCAAGCAGGCTAAGCAGCTGTAAAACAAGCTCAGTGACACACGGCAGTTGGTGCCACTGGCGCAGTTGTTGTTGCTGTTGGTACTGCCTGCTGCTGCAGGAGCAGCAGACGTAGGAGCCGCGTCTCCCGTTGCACCTGCTGACATCTCAGCGCCTTCACGTAACTTCTGAGGTGCTGAATAACAGCAAACAACAAATAAAAAGTGGGAAAACAACACGGGAGTGAGGAAAGCCAGCAGTTCCACTCCTGTTGCCGTTGGAATCAAGCCAGCAACACAGGGGGCCCCCGCCACCCATATTCCAAGGGCCCCTTCTAGAGTTGCTCGGCGTTTAACGCAAATCTGCTACTATTCTGAAGAATACGGCCTGATTCGCTTCGCTGATTACCAATTTATGCTCTTTTTACCTCCAGCTGGCATTGGGTTGGCCTCGCAAGGTGAGCAGCTAACAAACAGGAGAACTGCGCAATAACATGGCACTACAGCGCTATGGAAACCTGCAAGATAAGCTATCGAATATGCACTTCAGATGTGGGACACCTTATGGATTCGAGCTCTTCATAAGATTTGGGACACATTCGCTGCTCAGTTCTAGCCGATTTAATGCCTCATTGAACAAACAGCGTACTTCAGATTTGTCGAGCATTCATTTACGCTCATCCATTGCCAACAGCACTAAGTGGATTCGCAGTCAACTCCAGTCAATGGAAGCACAGAAATGGAGTGAATAGTGTGGTGCTGAAAGCTCGGGGAGCTTTAGGGCTGCGCAACATTGCAGTTCGAGCTGCCTTGCGCTACTATATCGCAGTCTATGGTAGCGTAGGGGATGACCATTTCACGACCGTGAGTAATACTACAGCATTAATGGAGTCCAGTGTGACGTTAGTGGCACACCGTGCCATGAACACGGCACCTCCAATGAAAGTGCGCAGGCCACAAGGCTAGGCTTTAAGGATGTGCAGATCAAGTGGCGCAATATGTGTTGACTGAGTGAGCTTCGTGCATGCTCAGGAAAATATAGGTCAGAAGATACTACTTAATGACACTGTGTTTTTCAGAGTACTCCGTCTGTCGAGTGAAGTGGAGCACTTTGCAGTTCGTGGAACTCACCAAACCCCGACCAGCAGCCCTTCTTTCTCAGAAATATTCGAGTTCAGCAGCTTTTGTCACTTTTGTGAAGGTTGCAGGATTATTATAGTTCATCACCAAAGCCATGGGCACGATTTTAAGTAGCGTTACTCCTCCGTGGGCGCAGTGTGGAGTCGTGAGTCAGGCTGTGACATGGTGGCCCAGGGGCGCGTTTGCACAGCCCTCTTGGAGCCTACGGTCCTCTCAATTTCGCACTATGTCTACTACTGTTTCCTACGCTGTAAGTGCAAGTCAAAGCTTCGGTTATATTTGAAGTAGAAGTTCATAATCCTTGCAAGTTGGACCTGCCCGAAACTGAAATAAAGGTCTTTATGGTAGGAAACCAGTGAGCTAAAGGATCACAGTAGATGCAGCCCAAATAAACAATATCGTAGAGAAACGCCTTATCTCCTGAATGTTCCCGATTGCATTTCGTGTAGACTACGCGCATCCACGGTCTAAGGGCTGCTGCAGTCTTTCAAACTGCTTTTTTCACTAATATGCAGAGTGCTGCACTATGAACACATTCCTTTGAGTGCCATGAGTTGTGTCACGACTTCGTAAAAGCCGCATAGGCGTACTACTTCTCGTGTTATAGATGCCAAGGCGTAAAGGTCGAATGTAGTAAGCTGGAGTGCAGTAGGCACCATAGAGCATCGAGTCAAGAGCTATTAACTGGCAGTGTCTACAAGCCGTGGCCAGTAGTTTTGCAGTCGTCTTCTGTGTAGCAGCAGCTGCTGTGTGCCCACTGTGCACGGTATGTAGGTAGTTTGTCAACAGTACGGTTCCCCTTTGTTCATTGTTTGCATCTTCAAACGAAAAAGGTCTAATATTGCACGAGCGGTTCCAAATAAGCGTGCCGTATAGTCCGCTGAACCATTTGCTTTTGTGAGCAAAACAACTCGTGTATGGGCAGCTCATAGAACTGCACGTGGATTAAACTACTGAGAGGCGAATCGCAGCAAGAACAAGGACTGTTTTGGAGGGCGGAAGCTACGGGTTGAGCAGTAAAAACTCTAGAGATGGCGCAATAGAGGCGCCAGCTGTGTTCGACGAAACTTGGCAATGTTCTGAAGATCGTTTGGTTTGTTTGACAAAACGTCTCTGGGAAGATCTAGTCAGCTTCAGTGTCGATGCAGCTCGCAGCTAGATCCTTCTTTAACTTTACTAGCAGGATGCAGATTCTTCTTCGCACAGGTGTTTCAAAAGGTTAGCAAAATGCGCACAAGGCCACTTGAGTCGCTAAGCCGCGAATGGACAAAGTCCACAGGCTGGTATACAACCTGTAGTGGGTTTCTCCCTGCATCACATCGAGGCTTTCCGTGTAATCTTCGGGTTCGAAGACACATGTACGCGCCGTTTATGATGCATACGGTATCGTAAAGATGTAAGTATGCCAAAGCATGCCCTTCTCTTTTGGAAGGAGCCCAAGCCGACCAACGTAGGGACAGAAGACACGTTTGCAATAGGGCAGAGAGCTCCATGGTGGATCCCTGCAGTGTAAAATGTATTGTGTAGAAAAAACACTATCATGGAATCCGGGCAAGAGCTCTGACGTACCGTTTCACTGTATTGTGCTGTAATTAGTCTGCTGGCCTTACCGAACTGAGCCGCCCCACTGGACGTCTGAGTGCAGGAGAAGTAATGCCTTTAAAGGGCTCCTCTCCACTCGGTAGAACGATTACCCCATGCTCATCAAAATTTTAGAGAGCACTGTGCGAAGGCCGTTCAGTTTTCCTATTGGTTTCTGGGGCATTATTGGGTTTTCCTTAGAAGAGCTTTGGAATGGACAGCTTGCTTGCAGAGCACGGAAAACTTGCTCCACTCCATGATGTCTTCTGAGCAGCATTCTCAATTTTGGAGCGAGGTTAAAACAAACGCATGCTGTTTATCATGGTCCCAGAATGCAGTGGACTCTAACTATTACGGCAAACAAACACTGCTCTTCTTGGGGTATATTTGTTACTCCTCTTAGCCCCTTGTTCGAAGAATGTTTCATTTTTACCACAGTAGACATCTCCACGAAGCATGGACGCAGTCGATGTTGCAAGGCAAGAGGCGTCGCGTGCATTATGCAAAGAAAGCCTTGCAGCCTGTAGCAATGGGCAAATTTGGCTGAGAGCCAGTACGAACACGTCTGAAAAAAGTGATCCTGCTATGCTACACTATATGTTATCGTACAAAATTTTACGTACTCTTGCCAGGGCCTTACTGTCTGAACAACGGCTCAACTGTTCAGACATTATCGGGAAAAAGATGGCATCTGTTGCAACCAAAAGCCCAAAACCAGCCTCTGCAGGTATCATGCAACACAGCTGCTCTCCAATGCCGCCAATCCCTAACGAAAGCAGAATAAACGCAAGTGCAAGCATGGGTTGCTTCTTGCTGGCTCGATGCATGTGAACTCTGTGCAGCAACATCATAGATTTCGCCAAATTCCAAGATTTCATCAGCTAACATGTTTACTAACAGCTTGATACATATGGACTCCAATTTTTCGGCGACTGCGCTCAAAAGAAACGTCTTGAAGAGATGTGACCACCCAGTTGCTGTGGGCCAAATATCTGGTTCGTGCTTACGGCGCAGATATCGTATTCAAGTGCCGCAAAAAGCAAGGCCACTGCAAGCGCTTCGCTCACAAAACACTAATCAGGGAGGCAGTGCGACCGAGATGAGAAAAAGCACAGCCAGCCTCAATGCGAAGGCCTGTCGAAAGTGCGAAAGTACGCTTTACAGAAGCTTCTTACGCCAATAGTATAGTGTACTGTGAGAGAAACCGGTCAAATGAAACTGCAAAGCTACGCCAACTACAAGCGGTCGAAAAAATTCGGTTTTTTTAAGCTAGTGACACTATTTTATCATGAAGGTAATTACACCGATGCCCATTTAAGATTCAACAATACAAATGTATTGAGGAACCAGAGATTGGAAAGGATGACAACAAATACATAAGGTATGAAACCTCGGAGGTGAACACCATTAGCAAAATGCGCGTCTTCCACTCTAAAAGAACTAGATGGAACCTCAGGACCGTACTTCGCTTGCCAAATAAATTTTCGAGAGATGCGACGGCTCCACGAATCACGCAATGAGGCGTGGTTCCTTTCCCAAGAAAAGCAGGAAAAATTCAAGGTAGTTCTTGTGCACTGTTGCCTACTGCTGTGCAGGCTGGTGCCTGACCTTCCAGGAAGAACCACATAGAAGTGAAATGCTAGACTAAGATATAGCTGTAAGCTTCCCGAAAAGAATTTTGAACGTACGACGTTACGGTGATGGCTCTTCTTTGAAGCAGGGAGTCTTGCTCCATGTTAATAGAGTGCATCGCCGATAGAAACAGTAACTAGGAATGCATACGCCAAATGTGGTTGTGGCATATGGAGTCTAAGAAGGTGCTTCGAATGAAGTGTGTGGTGCGTATATCACAAATAATGGTGGCTCTGTTCTAGCAACGGGGTATCACGTGCGGCAAAATTCCTTGAAGCAATTACCAGTCTCTTGATACACTAGGCTGTGACCAGCATGGTGAGCTTATTCAACAGCTGCGGCTACTGCAGCTGCAGCTGGGTGAGCCTTCAGCAAAACAGCCTGGGTCTGTGTCCCAGGCGTAGGATGGTGGACGACTCCTGGATAGCCTCTGGCCGCGTAATTCTGAGGTGTCTCTGCAGCTAAAGAGAGTCAGGGTCTCTGTCGTGTTGTTTCAGACAGTGCAGATGCATGTGGCTCAACAGCGGAGACTCTACACCCATAGGGCTTGAACTTAACCACGACGCTCCGGGAACTCGGCAGCCACACTCTGAGCAGATACTGCGGCCTTCTTTCCTTACTTCTGAAAAATGTTACGTGTGGAGCCTACGGAAGTGCCTATAACATCCACGTTTTATGCATTACGGTGTGCATGCGAAGAGCCCTTAGGAACTGCTCGCGTGTTTGTCGGCAGCAGCTGGAGTAAAGGGCCTCCAGCAGCTGCCGTAGCAGGAACTGGGGTCAGAGCCCTTCAACTAAGATACAAAAAATAAGAAAAAACATTACAAGAGTGACCGAACGGCTGTCCTTTTCCGGGAATTTTAGCAACCCCAGCAGCAACAGCAGTAGCAGCAACGGCAAGAATCTGCTCTTGCTGCTGCGGTCCGCGAGCTGTTGCCGTTGCTTTAACAGGCGAAATGAACCACTCGCAGTTATTTTTTCCAGATGGACAGAACAAATAGCTTTTCTCTGTCCTTTTTTCGAAATCTGCGGCCGCAGCAGTGGCAGTAACACTGGTAGTGGCAGCAGCAAAAGCTGCGGAGCGTGGCAGCGACCACCGCTGCAAGGACAGCAGCACGTTAAGCCGCATTGGAAATCACAGACACATGATAAACCAGGCAACAGCACTAGTTGTCGGTCACGCAACAGGTGCGAAAACTGCAGCAGCAGCGCCGCCTCCACGAAAGCTTGGCAGCGTTTCTTTTGTGGGCTTCGCTGACTCCTTTAGTGAAGCGAAGAAAGGCAACAGCAGCAGGAGTAGCTGCACAATCAGCATCAGAAAAGGGGGCAACGGCAATAGCAGCAGAGCAAAATACGACAAATGCAGCAACTGCAGCGGCAAATGAGCAGTGGTAGCAACAGCAGTAACAGTAGCAATACTAGTGAGGGTGCTATGGAGCCCCCGGAGCCACCACACGGGGGAGGAATGCTTGCTCCAAGCAACGTTGAGGCAGCGGCTCCTGCAGTGGCAAGTGATCCTGTTGTTGCTGGGGAACGACTGCAGCAGATGGCTGAGGGGTCTGCTTCGCCGACTGTTCACAGTAACAACAGTAGCAGCAGTAGCAGTAGCGCCAACAACTCAGTTTCCTCATTCCGTGGAACAGGAACTCATCGCGGAAGTAGCAAGCTGCAGCAGCACCAACAGCAGCACCAGCAACCGCGGGGCATGCCTTGTGGAGCGAAGAAGGCGCGGTGCCTCAGCATCAATCAGTGGGTTGCTGCTCTCTTCAAGCCAACAGGGAAACACAGACTGGCTAAGGTAAACCTGAACGCAAACTTCGTTGCGATTATTGCTGATTTTGGAAAGTATTTCTGCCTCTGAGGCCTATTCTGCTGTCAACTTTGCAACTGCGGTGCGGTTGCTGCTGCTGTGAAGACTGCTAATGCTTCCCTTGCCCAATAATTGCCTGCCCTGAATTAGCATCTGTATGCTTTTTTTGGCAACTATGCTGCATCTGTTGCTGCAGATATTATCGGTGAGGACTCACGGCGAGACCGGCTCCCACTTACCAGATGAGGTGTTGCAGCCTGGTTTAGCGAGGCTACAAAAGGGCGGCACCAACAAAAGCGGCGGCAGCAGCAAGAGCAGCGCAAGCAGCAAGTGCCCAATATCGAAGGCTGCTGTGGTTGCTGCTAGCTCTGCAGCATGCGATTCAGCAAGCAACAGCAGCACCGGCGAAGTAACATCCACAACGGCTGCGGCAGCGACAGGAAACCCTGGTGCATATGAATACTACGTGCACTACCGCCTGACTAACAGAAGATTGGACTGTTGGCTGCCTTTCTCAGATTTGTTGCCAGTGAATGCCAGTGGACATATTTTGCCCCCTACAGATTTCCAACGTCCGGAGACACGATTTCGAAGCGCCTCATCGTACCCTGCTGATACTGCTGTTGATGGGCCCACAGAGCTTGGAGGACCAGAGCCAGTGGCAGTGTCAGATGTCACCAGAACTGACGAACACATGCCTAAACGAGTGAAGCTTACCCACGGAGAAGCAGGTGCCACCGATTGTGCTGCCAAGCATGCTTCTAATGCTTTAGGAACTGTACCAGGGACGATGACGACAGGAGTGGCTGCGGGAATAAGAACACCAACAACAAGGCATGATGAGGCTGAGTCTGCTGCAGCTGCAGCTGCATGGAGACAATTAGAGGTTGATGGAAATGTGGAGGCAGAAGAGCTAAAGGCGCTGCTATTCGACCCTTCTCTAATCTTCTCAGATGTAGGCTGATTTGCATTAGAATGGGGGGTGTTTCATGGGACTATAGAGTTCACCGTCCACTTTCACTTCCGTCTTTTCCTGTGACTTGATGCATCTGCCCGCCTTCTTGGTCCTCTTGTATATTTCTCTGGCCCTTGCCTGCGTGGCTTTTCTTTGCTGTCCTCCTTTCGTGTCGCATCCTCTCTATGTGTGTCCGTGTTTCCGAGTCTTGCTCTTTCTACTTGTGTCTCACTGTATCCCAGCACGATGACGAAGAGCACGAAGGCATGGACTCAGCGACTCTTGCTGCTCACGAAGAAGCGACGCGGGTTAAGACAGTGAACAAGATTTATTTTGGGGGTCAGGAGATCGACACTTGGTATTTCTCACCGTACCCTGCGGAGGCTCAAGCAACAGACCTGCATATTTGTGAATTTTGTCTTTCTTTCTTCCTTAAAGCCTCCGAGCTCCAAACTCACGCACTAAGATGCACCGCCAGACATCCGCCCGGCAACGAAATATACAGAGACGGACAGTCAGTCAAGCTCGAGAGCATGCAATGCTCTGCTGGCTGTTTTGTTAGTGATGCCGTTGCTGCTGCTATGGCTGGTTCGGTTATTGATTTTGCTGCTCTTGTTGCCGCTGCTGCTGTTGCTGCTGGGGCTGCTGTACCTGGTGGTATGTATTATTGCTGAAAAGGACAGACAGATTAGGTCAAATTCACCTTCGTACTGCGCTTCACTGCTGCTGCTGTTGCTTGGTTCCCCAATGGAAGCGGTCTTGCTACTAATGCACGTGTGAGGGCGCCGGCTCTGCGAGGGAAAGCCCGCGTAGCTGTTGGTGACTGCTGCTGCCATGCCTGGTGCAGCTTGTCAATGTTTGAAGTCGATGGCAAGGCCGCGCGAGTGTACAGCGTGAGTGACTCACTCTTGCCCCTATCGCCGACAACAGACAGACGAATTTTGCAGTAGTGCGCTCGGGAACAGCAGCAGGAGCACATCCGAGGTTGCGCGCGTGTATTTTATTCAGGAGAACTTATGCTTTTTGGCAAAGCTATTTCTAGACCACAAGACCCTGCAGTTCGACGTCGAGCCCTTTCTTTTCTATGTCCTTACAGAGGTCTGCCACTGCTATTGATACGGCTGCGTTTTGCTGCGTTAGCAGTTGCTATTACTGTTGCTTCGGCTGGTATTGTTGCTAGTGCGATTCGGTGCTGTTGTGGCTAAGAAGTCCATAGAGATTATGCTAGTCAGATTTTCCTTCTCTGGGCGCTTGCTGTTGCAGTCTCTATGAGCAGTGCACCGAACGCTCTATCACGTTCGCAGTCCCAATCGCTGGTGCGGTTGTTGATGCAAGTTTTTCCTGCTGGATATGTGAAATTATTTTAGGTGGACGCCGGAGGAGCTCACCTTATCGGATACTTCTCCAAGGTGAGAGGATGCCTTTTGTTGCTGAAACGTTTTGCAGGTTTTGCCATTCGCATGTGCCGCTGCTGCTCTGCTGGCCAGCGGCAAGATACATGAGCAGCACGCAGCGTCAAAGCAGCTGGGTACGCAGAAGCGGCGTATATTTGCAGCTGTTTGCCTGCCGTAGGAAAAAGTATCTCTGCAGGGCTACAATCTTGCGTGGTGAGGCAATTGCTGCTGTTGTTGCTGCTCCTACAATGGACACAGTTTCCGCTGCTTCAGCGGAGTACTGCTTCAGCCAGCAGGCTCTAATGCAGTCTTGCATTTTTGGCATATTTGCGCACATTTTTAGTGGTTTTCGTACTGTCCAACACCAACAAGAAAAACAGCTGCGGGATCACTAGTGACGGCCATAACAGCAGCTGGTGCTAGATTGAGTGCAGTGGGCCAGTGATAGGAATGCTGATCTTTCGTGGTTGAACTGTTTTGTTTTGCGCCACTTCAGCATCTTGACTCTTCCGCAGCATCAGCGCAAGGGCTACGGACGCTTCTTAATATCATTTAGTTACGTCTTATCATTAAAAGAAAACAAACGAGGAGGACCGGAAAGGCCCCTGTCGGATCTAGGGCGGCTTAGTTATATTGGCTGGTGGAGCTGGCGCCTCCTGAATCTCCTCTCAGAGCCTCAGTGGGCCTCGAAGAAGAGAGTTTCTATACACGTACGTGTATTGGCGCCGTGTTTTCGCCTATTGCGGCTGTGGCCATCCTTGCCACTTATGCTCTGGTTTTTGTTGCTGGTGCTACTTTACTGCGGGGGCTTTTGCCGCTGTCGCTTTTGGTGCCACCGTTGCAGCTGCAACGCATTGTTGTTTTCGTTGTTCCGAGGTGCATCAATGCAGTTAGGTTTCTGTGTTAGCTTTTACCGCTGCGGCTGCGGATGCCGTTGCTGGCGTCCGAGCTACTGGTGCTCTCGTAGCTATTGGTGCTCCATCGGCTGGTCTTGCTGGAAACGCCAGCAACAGTGGCTCGTTTGTCTGCAATTGTTTATCATCTCGTTGTGGCGCGTTTTTGTGGTGGTGGAGTAAACGTGACGACTGTGTGTGGTCGCTACCGCCGCCATGTGAACAGTTTTCTGTTTCATTTTTCATTGCCGAATCTTAGTTGTTACTGTCTGTGAATGTGCTCCGCTTTATTGGTATAGTTTCCTTGTATCTTCAGCCTGCTTGTACCCAACTTTCTTTTGACATTTACTTGTCCATATTTGCATCATTTTTGTTCCATTTTGGGCGCACTAAGTGTGGCTCTTTCGTGCTCTCGGAAATGCGTCCATTTGAATACTGCAGCATATACGTTGTGCTTGCCTCAGCTGCATTTCTCCCTTCATTCGTTTATCCTTTTTCCCTGCTGCTTGTTTTTAGGAGCTGGTGCGAGCCACCGCGATCCGCCCCGAAGACATTCAGAGGACACTAGAAGAGATTGGCGTCCTCAGGTAAAAGTGCTGCTGCTGCTGCTCGCTGTGCTGCCGCTGCTGCTGCGTCGGAGATTATTACATCTCCAGCGGTCTGCACGGCACGAAGGATCGCTGGAATCATGGCGCGAAATGCTTCCACTGGTGGCACACTGTAGCCTGTATTGCTACGATTGCGGGTGCCACGTGCGTCGGTTTAACAGCAGCCTCCCGTGATTCATTTTGTCGCTGCTGCTGCTGCTGCTGCTCCTGCGGCTGCAGATACTTGCAGGGTCACCATGTTTTGTTATTGCATCCTGACTTGATTAGAGCCCGCCTGCAGTGAGACCTGTCACAACATCCAGTTGCAACAATACCAACTGCTTTGACGGCAGCACCTAAGCTGGGAGTCTGATTTCTGTGGGAGCCAGCTCTTGCTATTGCCGTTCTCTGTTATGCCTCAATTTCTGTTGTAGATGGATGCCAAGGCCCTGAACAAGCCATGTGGAGCATCTGCCTTTGCGTGGACCCTTACGTACATATGGGCTCCTGCTGCTTTTGCTGCACTTAGTATTTTCTTTTCTTCTGATTTTGCTGCTGCTGCTGCTGCAGGGAGGCAGGCTCTGGGGGCGTTCCTGTACACCCGGAAAAGCTCCATTTTTCGCCTTATAATCAAGGCCCTCCCCAGCCGAACGAGGCAATGCCTCCACCCACAGCGGAAGAACAATAGTGATACCAGTATACTGGTGCTGTTCATGCTGCTTCTGCTTTTTTGTTGGGTCTACAGCAGCAGAACAGGTTAGTACTGCTCTTGACCTCCCGACAGCACGAGCGTCCAACGTTATTGGCAATGCAGTACAGCAGCTTCTGGACGCTCAAACAAAATTATTCCTTAGTATTCCGGTATTTTTCACGGTTAATTTTACCAGACTTCAAAAAGCAGCAGCAGCTGTGAAGATCGAAAAAGCATGGTTTTTCTTTGATGCACATGGGAACATTTAAGCACGTACGGGAAGCTCATTGAATAATTTTGACTAGCCCTGAATAGTGCTGCGTTCGCAGCCAGGTGCCTCTCAGATATGAACCTAGGTGTAACTGCTGCGCTGCAAGCCTTCCAAATTGCGAATGTATCCGCATGCTCGAGCTTAATTTGTCTGCTGAAGTTTGAGTCAGATGCCACATGTTCTACGTGCCGTCAGTCGGCACTGTAGGGGCTGCAGGCTGCTACTGTGCCGTTCCTTAGTTACTGCTTGCTCGAGTTACTGAGATGAAAACTGTTTTTATGAATCAGGAGGGTAGCACGTGCGACTGCTTGCGGAGCGACCACTCTGCACCAATGCGCAAGTCGCTAGCTACTGTTAGCTGGTGTCAATGAAATACCGCGGACTGCCCGTTGCGTAGCACAGAGAGAATCTTGTAGGCGGCTACTTCGGGATCGACGAAACATCTTGCATTCTACATTCAAGCCAGGAGGCTTAAGAGCCTTCCAGTGTCCTAATCCCGCTCTATAACCAATTGAGCTATCGTTGGCAAGCCATCCCCCTGACATCTTCACTATTCGTTCTATTCCTGCCTGCGAGCTGTCGAAAAAATATCTTTTAGCCGAAGCACTGTGTGCTAGCAGCTGGCTGTGGATGTAGGAAGAAAGACATGCGGCTCACGGGCGTCGACGCTTCGCATGCGTATAGACAATCGAAAATGTTCCATGGCAACAGCAGGTTGAAGTCGTGGGCACCTTTCTATGCTTGGCTAGCACGGTATATATGACAGCCGAGGCACTCCGCAACGGCTGTGGTTTTTCGTAACGTCGGTATGCGACAAGCGCTTCACTTGAGTACTGGCTGGACCATCGCAGCGTCGAAGTTAAAATGGAGGACTGGAACAAGACCGAGGCATAAATAGCAAAGTGCTTTTTGCATCCCGTTAGGTAGTAAGCGCGAACCGCTCTCAAGCCACAGAATTTCCTCTTCACTGAAGAAAGCGGCTACACTGCCGCTGAGACAATTAAGAGAAACGTGCTGAGGGTGACCAGTGCACGTGAAATCAGTCAGACAGATACGCTTGCATCGGCTACTGTAGATCCGCAATAGACACAGAAGATGTTTTTTCAGAGACTGAAGTCCAAGCTTCCGCTGCATCGACTCAAACTGATGCAGCCGGGCTGGGGAGATAGGTAGCCCAACTATGGTGCTTTATGGTGTGATTGAGTGTGGCCAGACAGCTACCAGTAGTCCTGCGGTTAATACTGAAAAAGAAGGGACAAAATATGCGGAGCTTCCTCAACGTCTTCAAGACCATGTTTACTAAAGTAGGCGCGGAACAATGCTGTTGGGGAGACGCGCTAGGTGAAGCATTACTATGCTTGTGTTATCCAAAGGAATCGGGCACAGACTTAACAAACAGGCAAAAGCTTGATATGCTCCAACATTTTTGTAGGCTAGGTCGAGCTGCACATATTCGTCAAAGCACCGCCAGCTGTTGGTGAGGAAACCATGAAGCGTACTTCGCAAAGTTGCACGGTGGTGTGACTTTGCGAAGACAGTAGCACAAGTGGTAAGCTTGTGTGCAGGAAGCCTACTGGAGTACTTCGCGGCGAATCTACCGCTTGTGCTATGTAAAGCTTTAGCTAGCAACACCAGGGTCCTCAGAGACTCGAGGGAAGCGGCAGCCGAAATTGGAGCCCTCTAAGGTCCATGAACGGCCCAAGCAGAGGTGCGGCAGAGGTGACACAGTGGTTTCACTCTCGGCCTGGGTACAAACGTAAGTAGAGGCCAGAGATTTTATACAAACCCTCAGGACAGTGAGTAGCAGCACTCAAGGCGTGATTAGGTGGAACCTGTATGTTTTGAGTGCCAGGAGAAAGCACATGTTGCCAAAGACTGTCCCACACGTAATGGTAGCACCGGCCGGCCGGAAGACACTTGCCTGCGGTGTAGAAATGCAGATCATCTCGCTGGGAACTGGGCTACGCCGTCAAAACCGCTGTTTGGAATTAATGAAGGAGCGACGCTTACACCCAGACCTCCCGAGGGCGCAGACAGATTCGTTGTCTCTATCCACGTTATGCTCCTGCGACTAATGCACGACATCTTTTGCCAATAGACGTTCTACTCCTGTGCAAGCTTGCAAAGCAAGAGCTTAGCTACCTCGGATATACCATCATCTCTTAAGGTATCAAACCCGCAGCAGACAAAGTACAAGAAATTCATTCTTGGCCAGACGCGCTGATTAACGCTGACTCGATGGTACTGACAATTATTGTCGTATATTTGTGAGTTCCGAATACGCCGACATCGCCTGACCCTTTGTTAGACTTACCCTCAAAGGCACACGCTTTCTGTGGAAAGAGCGACACAGTCAAGCAGTGCAGCTCCTTAAGCAATGCCTGATTGATTACGGTCCTCTACAGGTCTTCATGACCATGAAGCCCTTCAAAATATACCGAAGCTTCTGGTTTTGCGACACGAGCAGTACTTGAACAGGAACAACAACCAGTTGGCTTCATTGACCAGTTCCTGGCATCAGCTCAGCAGAGGTATCTAGTGTACGTATGGCCAGGAATTCCTCGCTTCGGTCACCGTCTTTGACAAGTGACAGTTTTCTACGCTCCGCAAAGATTACAGCGTGCATCCTTTGCCGAGCTAAGATATCTAGATGTGAATCATTAAGGCAAAATGTTTGTGCTAACAGGTCCGGAAAGAAGCAAGGCTTCAATCCCGGAACAGCCCCCAAACGTAGTGCACAGCGCCTTCTGCTGCGACTACGTTGGGCCCCTGGCCTACGAATAGGGCACCCTTCAAAAACTCTCTACTTTCGACGCATCTCTCATGAAACAAGCACCAAAGTATCAATAAAATCCGTCATCTGTTTGAGTTTTCAATCCAATTTACCTAAAAGCCCCCTCACTCAGGGTTCTTGCTTTTTTGGCCCTGTGGGACGGTGGCCCTCACCGGCGCCAGCGTCATTCCCAGCCCCAATCTTCGGGTATTTACATACACGTCTAGTATACACATGCGATTTTGCTGACAAATTGACTTACTTCGTTACTAATAAGACGGTCCTGCCCTTGTTCAGCGTTTTCATCTCTTATAGGTCATCAGCTAACTCTCCTCTTAAGACCACCAGCAAGCACTATTGTAGTGCCTGCGCCTTACATGGTTGGGGCGGTGTAGTCTGCAGGCACTACAATGGGGTTTGCCTGTGACCTATAGAGGATAGCTAACTGAGGATCTATAAAAGGTTAAGAGCTTGAGATGCGGATTGAGCGCTGTAACCTCTTACTAGTGAAATAGAAATGCCGGCACCGGTGCACGTTACATCCTCATTGGACCAGCAAAGCCCGAACGATAAGAAGTGACTTTTATGAAATATGATTTTGAGAACTTGAAACAAAATTGTCTTTCTAATAATTTAGCTGACGTTACGAGACGGATGCGTCTGTAGAAGAGAAGATTTCATAGAGCGCCAGAGTTGAGGGTGCAGAGCCGTAGACGCTGCAGAGAACGCAGTGCACTACATTTGGGGGCTGTTCCGGGAACTAAAAACTATTTTTTCCGGACTTGAGGGTAGAAATACGTTGCTTTAATATTTCGCACCTAGACATCTTAGCTGAGTAAGGGATGCAACTACGCAACGGACGCGTCGTCGGACCTATGCAGCAGGAGACTTCTACAATGTCAGTAAACAAATTGCCCAGTGGAACACCAACTCATCCTCAGCATGCTGCTCCGAAACTCACGGTGGAAGAGCGGCCGCACGGGCATAAGGAGACACCCCAGCAGGTGGCACCTATAGCAAATGTTAACAGCATGCCAGGGGACGGTCCGTAGGTCACGTGGGACCAATTCCACTCTGCGATGGCTGTGATAAAGAATGTTATAGGGGGGTCTGGAGTATCAAGCGTAACGTCGCCTATACTACCTGAAGACGGCAGTACTATGCAGACCTTTTTAATGCGTATCCAACGACGGTACACTTAGATGGGATTGGAGACCAGTGAGTGGGGGAACGCACTTATCGACCATCTTGTGGGGTCCGGCTCTAATCTATTGGATGTATCTACAGCGAACTATCGACCTAAGAGAATGGGCGACTGTACAGCGCCGGCTTCTGGAACGGTTCGACAAGGCAATGTCGCAGAGTCAACTGGTGACGGAGTTGGGCAAAGTACGGTGGAATGGAAACCCTAAAGAGTATACGGAACACTTTGCGGTTGTAGCGGAGCGTGGTGTGGCGATCGCCCCCGACGCACCCGCCGACTTCTCTTGCGCTGGGCTACCAACTGATCTCCATCTTCTCATTACAAATAATGAGCTGGTGAAGTATTGCTTTTGGGAACAAGCGGCTACAGCAGCAGCGCGACTCTGTGGACCTAAGCAGACCGTGCTAGAGCTACGAGAAAGGGCTAGTCGAGCGATAAGAGCTGCTACTGAGGCAAACGAAACCGATCGGAAGCAGGAAAACGAAACTAGGGCTGGAGACAACCCCGGGAACTGCTGAGTGTCAGGCTGGTGAACACCCGGCACGCGTTTGTCCTAGCAAAGGGAAACGAACCAAGCGGCCAGGCGAGACCTGCACGAAGTGTGGAGGTGTGGGACACTATGCTCGTGACTGTCCTACACACGACCGAGGCCGTGCCGAGCCGGAAAACAAGAGCAACAAGCAGCCTATCCGTCCCAGCATTGAGAAGACCGAACGGATAAACCACGAGGCCTAGGCGTTGTTGGAGACGAGCGCTCTAGGCCGCGTAGCCATAGCAAAGGGATGATATGTGCGGTAGCGACGGGACCTAATGCCATTCCAGTCTCCCTAGAGCGGGGGCAATGCCTCCGCAACACGATAGAAGAAAACAAAATGAGCGATGAGGACGTGCAGGGGACTCAGCCGCCATCGGAAACGCAGTTGGAGTCTGGGCTGGTGCCGATGCGGAGTGAAGAGGCTCCGTGGCAGAAGACGGATAGCAGCGGGAAATCTGCAGAAGCGACAGAAGAAGACTGCAGGCCAGAAGCAATAGAGATTATTCCGCACTGGTGGCGCGAAATTAGTGCGAAGGAATCTTGCAACCAAGGAGGAGCCTTGTGTTACGTGGGTGCAAAAGCGGTACTTCGCGTTGAGCTTGCAGGAAGTTCATGCGAGGCACTTTTAGACACAGGCGCTTCGAGAAGTTTCATTAAGTCTAAAACAGTCGAACGATTGCAGCTGAGGGTGCGGAGACTTCCAAAAGAGCATAGGTTCACTGTTGCTACAGGTGAACAATTACGCATTGACCGAGTTGTGACGGGGTTGACGATGTGGTCTGGATACGTACGCTTTTCCGGGGACTTCTTTGTGGTACCCGTTCCCTATGATTTAGTCGTGGGTTTGGGTTGGCTGACTGAACATAAGGTGGCCTGGTTTTTTCAGTCCGACAAGCTCCAGACCTATGTGAATGGCCAGTGGTGCGAGTTACCGGTCGTTAGGACGGGTGAAGAGACATTACAGGATGGCAGCCACATAGTAGCACCTCCAAGAAGTCTTGCAGAGCAAGCGTACGACATTTTGGCTAAGCAAGTGTCGGGCATGTCAGCGGAGGACGCTGCCATATTCCTACAGCCGCCACCTAAAAGGTATAAATCCCATGCGAAGACTAAGGCGAAGGCACGGATAACGTCGCTTATTCGCCAGGCGGCGGCCGACGCAAAGAAACTCAGAGCACGATTGCACGGTTTACATTTTATCCTGGCTTTGCCCGACGCTGGATCGTCAGTGGCACTGAGGTTCACGGACAAGTGGCAAGGCGCACTTTGTTGCGTGTTGATCGGGAATCGACCCAAAGCCTCCTGTTGTAGCCATCCTCTGGCTTCAACTGCCTTGAAAACAGCGGAGGATGAAGGAGAGTCTCCATGGCCTACGGCGAAACTCGATTACACACTCTTCGATGAGTGGATAAACTCGACAGAGGCACAAGCTATTCCATTCGAGATTACCAAGGTGTTGAAAGAGTACCGGGCGGTCTTCCCCGATAACTTACCTGAAGGATTACCACCGAAGCGCCCTCATGGTCACCATATCCTACTTGTACCTGGAAAGCTTCCAGCGAAATCTGCGATTTACCGAATGTGTAGTGCGCAGCGCCTACTGCTGTGACTACGATGCTACCTGCCCCTCGAGCAGGCCTACAAACTACACCTAGCGTAGGCCCATTTCCTGGAAATTGTAGCTCAATTTCATCGAAATTCAATAATTCTTAAAGTGTTTCAAAATCAGTCTGTTCGATTCGCCCCACTCTGGGAGCTCGCTTCCTAGGCGCTATGGGGAGGAGGCCTGCACTGGTGCCGGCGCTATCGCCAGCCCCAGTCTCCACACAATTTCCACACATTTCAAGTATGCATTTTAACTCATAGACAGTTTTTCTTACTTTTATCTTATTAGGAGGGTCCTGTCCTCCTCCAGTGTTGCGACCCCTTGTAGGTCGCTAGCTAGCTATCGTCTCAAGGACACTAGACAGCCCCATTGTAGTGCCTGTGCACTGCAACTTCTTCCCTTGCCGGACTGAAGAGACTCACTCCAAAACACATTATTTTTGCCTTTTCAATCTCTGTGCTCTTCTAAAGCTGACGTCGTGAGCTCACGCGGTGCGCAGCGCTCCCTCCCTCCTCCTTATTGAAGGGTGCCCTTGCTGTAGGCGGTGGAATGTGACGGACCCATACGTCTACGCCTCGGAAGGACCAATGTTGTTTCGAGCCTAAAGACGTCTTCGTTGATGGAGGCGCCAAGCGCGAAGCAAAGCCGGGCAGCCTGTAAGGTGGTGAGCTGGCTCCCATGTGGCTTGATCTTCAGGGGTCCCGCGCCACTTCATGAGGTACTGGGCTGCATCTGCCGAGCCGCTTTGGTCCATAATATAGTCGACTTCATATTTCTCTGTGGGATTGCCTGCTGCATCGTGGATAGGAGGCCAGGCGGCGTCGGCTGCCGAGGGAACCAAAGCGGGAGGGCGGGGGCGGTGGGGAACTGGCTGCGAGACGTGAAAAACGTTATGGCATTCATGAGTGGAAGGCAGACCGAGACGGTAAGCGACAGTTCCTATGCGTTCGATGACTTCGAAGGGTCCGCGGTAACGGGGCTCGAACATAGGGCAGCTGTTGAAAGGCGGTAGGTGCTTGCTGCTGAGCCAGACCTTGCCTCCCACCGCATACTCCACTGCTCGGCGCTTTGTGTCTGCGTAGTACTTCTGCTGCCATTTTGCCTTCAGGATGTGACTCTGTGCTCTGTCGCAGTGCTGCCGGAAAAGCTTAGTCATCGGAGGAGTGAGCGTAGGAGCTAACGCGCGTACGATATCAAGGTCCGGAGCAGTCAACGGGTTCTCTCCAATCATGACCTCGAAAGGAAAGAGCTCAGTGGATGAATGACTTGTTGTGTTATAGACAAGTTCCAAGGCCGGAAGCAAACGCTCCCACTCGCGTTCGTCAGATTTGATATAGGTACGAAGCATCTGCTCCAGTGTGCGGTTAACCCGTTCAGTTTGGCCGTCGCTTTGGGGATGGTAGGACGAGGAGATGCACCGTTTGATGTTAAAGCGGCGACAGAGTTGGTTCCAAAGATTCGACTGGAAACGGAGGTCGCGATCCGATATAAGCACCTCTGGAAAACCGTGATAGCGGATAAGGCGGTCTGCGAGATGCTCCACGGTGTCTGCTGCTGCGAATGACTTCTTTGCAGGAACGAAATGAGCCATCTTGCTGAGGGAGTCGACCATGACAAGAATCGAGTCGTGCCCTGTCGTTGTAAGGGGAAGATCTGTGATAAAGTCGAGACTCACGTGCGCCCATCGACGAGAAGCGATGAGCAACTGTTGAAGAAGGCCTGCAGGCTTCTGGTTAAGAGATTTTGATGCTCGACAGGGGGTACATGACTCAAAATAAGCAGTAGTGTAGTAGCATTCCTGGCCAGTAGTAGTGCCTGCTGAGAGCCGCAAAGGTCTTCTTCTGGCCTCGATGGCTGGCTGTGACATGGTCGTGATGTGAATGCAGAACGTGAGTAAGGAACTCAGGGAATTGTGGGACGCAGATGCGCCACAGTCCATGAACGCGGATGTGCAGGTAAGGCTCTACGTAGCGAAAGATAAATTGGCGATTACAAAACTCGATTTGCAGAGCTTCTCCTGGTTGGTTTGCTGCGGCTTTGTAGGGAACGCGAAAAACAGGACACTTCCAATAAGCTTGCGGCCAATGGCGCACATCAGGAGGGTCAGCTGGTGGCTTCGTTGTGACTGTAGGATGTTCCGCCTCTGGGTTGGGTTCCGGCGGCGCAGGTGAAGGCGCAGACGGCATGCTGCGTCGTCTAGGCCGTCGCGAACGAATTCCGGCGAGCTCCCTGTAGTTGGGAGGCCGGGCACAAGGGTGGGGAGCCTCGCTCGCTTGTCCTATTGCGAGCATCAGTGGTACCGATGGTGTGTCGTGCGAGCAGGTGTCAGGAAGGTCGGGACGGCGACACAAGCCGTCGGCAACTTGATTGCGCGCGTCTTGAACATACGTGATGTGCAAATCCGGGAAATCCGCAAGAAAGTCTAGCCACCGGGCTGTGCGTCCGCGCAGAGGCTTCGATGCTTGGAGTCGTTGGAGATGGGTGAGAGCTTGATGATCAGTGTAAG